CTCACTCTCTCACTCTCTCACTGCCTCACTCTCTCACTGCCTCACTCTCTCACTGTCTCACTCTCACTCACTCACTGACTCACTCACTGCCTCACTCACTGTCTCACTCTCTCACTGTCTCACTCACTCACTCACTGACTCACTCTCACTGTCTCACTCTCTCAAGAAAAAAAATTTTTTTTGGGATTTTATCATTTGATCTCCCTTATGATCCTTTAAATTTATTTTAGTTTTTAATATTTTCTGCTTTTCTTTTTCATTGAGGTTTTTATCTGTTTTAGTTTGTTAATGTTAGTTAAAACAAAATTTAAAAAAAATTCTGCATATGAAATCCAGAATAGGTAAATCTACGGAGACCCTAACTGGATTAATGGTTTCTTTGGGTAATGGCAGGGGAGACTGGGGGAAATTGGAAGTTAAAAATGATGAATTAGTATAAGAATGAAGAAACTGTTCAAAACTTTATTGTTCCAAACTTCCTAACAAATTGAACTGTTGAATTGTATGATAGGTGAATTATATGCCAGTAAAACTTTAAAAAAATCTATGATTGTTACAGTTCAACACAGGTAATAGAGGGATAAGAGGTATACTAGCAGTTATGCATTGGGCTGAGAGCTGTACGATCAGCAGTTTCAAACCTGCCCCCCTGAGCGAGAAAGGTAGGGCTTTCGGCTTCTGTTCGCAGCGGGTCGTTCTCTTGTGTCCTGTAGAGTTGGCGTGAGCTAGAATCGACTCGTAGGCAGTGAGGTTTTGTTTATTTGTTTAAATATTGCTTAGCATCTTGATATATGACCTAGGTATTTTTATGTTTTTTTAATGTGTGGTATAATATCAATGTTTCTAATGATGTACATTTACTATAACATACAAGAATATGTTGCTGGTTATATTACACTAAATTTTAATGACATTTCAATCAGACATTTTTATTTGTTCATTTTTTAGAAAAACTCTGCAAAAATGTCTTTGTATCCATCTCTTGAAGATCTGAAAGTAGACAAAGTAATTCAGGTATGTTTTCTTAAAATATACTGTGCCATAAATTGTAATTTTACATGAATGGTTCACAAAGTTCATGGAAAGATCCATTATACAATTCTATTAAACTTTTTGGTGTCTCCTTGAGCTGAAGCAAAAACTTTAATAGCAAGTGTATTAATTTTTTTATTCCGTAAAACTTGTGTTTAGTTTTATTAATTGCTAACTAAAACGTGGCGGCAAAATTTGTAATACGAGCTAAGGGGCCTGGGGTGGTGTTTCGTTTATTTAACCTTTTATCTTCATTCTTTAAAGCTTTGGTTTTAGACTAAAATTGCATACAACCTATCTATGTAAATTCATAAAATACTTTCTAACCATTTAGACCTTTCTTAGAAGGCCTGGTTATGCAGTGGGTTAAGTGTTGGGCTTTTGACTGCAAGGTTGCAGCTCAAACCCCCCAGCTGCTCAACGGGAGAAAGATGAGTCCATTTGACACCTTACAGGTTTAAAGTCTTGGGATACTGGTGTTGTGAATTGGAATTGACTTGTTGGCAGTGGACTTGGTTGAGAGTTCTCTGCTATTTTTTATTTTTTTTAATCATTGATATGACCACTTTGAAAAAAGGATTCTTAGCTGCTTTGAAGATGATTGACACTTTTACTTGAATTAGTAAAATAAGGTTTAAATGTGTGGTCATTTTAGAATGCATTTAAAACTCACTGATTAATAAGCAGCAGCATTATTTTACTAGTTCATAGCTATGTAGAAGTCCTTCATTTATATTGCAGTTCAGATATGTGAAATTTATCTTATAAATTACAGAAGAATTTTTCAGTTGTTCAAGGTATAGTTGTTAGACTTTTCTTATTTTCTTTCTTAGGCCCAAGCTGCCTTTTCAGCAAACCCTGCCAACCCAGCAATCCTGTCAGAAGCATCTGCTCCCCTCTCTCAGGATGGAAGTAGGTTGAAAGTTTGAGTTCATTCTCCTTGAACAGAAATCATTTAAGCTAAGTTTTGTTTTGTTTTTTTCCCCCTCAAGGATCTTTCAGTATTTCCACTTAAATTCTGATACACCTTTGCCCAAGCCATGTATTTTTGAAATCAGCACTTCAGGTTTTTTGGCATACAATCTGTTCTTAGTAATAAGAGGGGGGTTGGGGAATGTATATTTCAAAAATAGTCTAATTAAAGAGAGTGAGCTATGAATATGAAAATTTGTTTCAGGCTTAATGAAGGTTTATTTTAGTTTGATCATAAGTCCCTGATTAACTTATGCAAAAACCTTGCATATCACTAGTGGTTGAGCCATGCTATATATTGATTTTGGAACTTCTTCAACCTTTACCTTTGGGAAGGAAGTTTCTGAAATTCCCAGCCCACCTGTTGTAGGAGAACTTGCCAAACTTTGGATTCTCTACATTTCCTTTTCTTTGATCCTTTTTCCTATAAGCTTTATAAAAATTTTCACCTGAAATTTTTTTT